TTAAAAACATTATAAGTTTAATGCATAAATTTTAAACTACATGTATTATAAATTCAAAGTATCAATATTAGCTTTAAATTAATTAATTTGCATTTATTTTAATTGAAATTGAATTATTTGTCACTAAAATAAATTTTTTGCCAATTATTATGAACCTAAAAAATGCGAGAAGTTTTGTTGAAAAATGTTTCATGTTAATACATTTAAACAATATTTCTGAATAATAAAAAAAGATTACAGTTTTTATTCTAATTCAAATAATTTATATTTATTTTTAAACTTAATATTTGTTCTAATAATATAAGAAAGTTTATTTTACGCAACTACTATTTATTTTTCAGAACAAGTAATAAAGTAGTTGATACTTTAAAAAATATGTAATTTTTTCCCATATTCATAATTTCCCCTTTTTTCCCCTCATTCTAAATTTCTATAGACTACTTTTTGAAGATAATGTGGTTTACAAAAATTTGGAAGCATTTTTGAAAATAGCACCTGGACCTAGTGTAGTTGAGACCTATAAAATATGATGTTTTATAATATGATGTTTTTTCTTTATTCATAACTGTGTATTTAAGTTATAGATGGCGCCACTACAATATTGCATCGATGAAACTGTTACAGATTATCTAAGAAAAAAACCACCACTTTGGGTTTCAAAGCATATGTGCTAGTGATGCTGTCATCTAGTGATATATATGGGATATAAAACTTCCTCGTTTTCCAACTAATAGCGTCGCAAATAAAATTTACTTTTTATGTGACTCACACGTCGTTAAAATATTTTTACTTCTTTTTATTAAGAGAAACGGAACAAAATGTTTAAAAAATTGTTTTTAATTTTCAGATTAGAGATAGTACGATAAATCTTTTATGATGAAGAAAAAAGAAATTACTCTCTGTAATTAAATCTTCAAACCAAAAAATTTAACTACTTAAAAAACTTGCTTTAAAAAAATTTATACTTGCTATTTTTATAGAAATAATCATTATAAATAAATAATTGATTATTTATATTGTTATTGTTATTCATATTTAATTATTATTTATATTGAAGTTTCCGCTGTCATCCAAATGTTTTCATCTAGCTACCTATAACAGTGGTTATTCTTTTCTTTATTTTTCACTTAACATAAAAATAAAAGTACATGAACAAACAGAATTGTGTTATATTAGATTATCGAAATCTTCAATTGCGAACTATAAATATACGAAAGTACCGATTTTGTTACCGGCGCTGCTATCTAGTAATGATTTGTATATAGTAATGACTATCTAGTAACTACTGTTTTGATTATAAGGGTGACTATCTAGCAATGATATAATAAATTCGGAAAAAGTATTATATTAAAAAACTGGCTTTCAATGCGACTAGCATGTTAAATTTATCTAATGTTTTTTTAGAAGACTCTGCGTATATATGTTGAAAGAATTTTTTCTTTCTAATTAAGTTAGTTTTCTGATAATTGAATCCTCTATGGTAATGCTCAACTAGAAGTTGCTGTTGAAATTTAAAGAGAATAATTAACTAATTTAAATCAACACAATACTTGTTATTAAATTTTCCCCAAAGTATTATTTGTATAAAGTAAGGAAAAGACTTCATTTCATCTTAATAAAACTTTGTTGTTATTTAAAATAATAATAATCAGCTCGAATATTATTTACTTAACTATTTAAGTGAAGAAATTAAAAGAGCGCAAGTCTTTGATTGCCACGTTAAGATATAATATTCCGCGAAAACTAGGTACAGTCGAACTCGTTTATAACGAGCACAAAGGGACCGTAACATGTACTCGTTAAACCCCGAGTGCTCGTAATAAACGGGTCCTTAAGGCAGACGTGCAACCAGAAGAGGGAGGGAGGGGCTTGGGAGGTCAAATGATTGAGTTGACTTAAAATTTAATTAATTAATACTTACTTTAATTTCATTAATTAATTTAATTAAATATTTATCTTAATTTAGTGACAACTAACCCCTCCCCCCAAACCANAATATCTTATAAATTAAAAATAAGTTATAAATAAGTAGGCATAATGCACATCTCTTAGTTATAATTTATAATAATAGATGGCGCCATTAATAAATCTTAAATCAAAAATTTTCTAATTTAATTTTAGTAATCCACATAAAATAAATTAAATATTAATTTAATTCGATGAATATTAATTTTATTAAATAAATATCAAGTGAAAACTACTCAATTTTCATTTTATTGTGAGTATAAGGATTAAGCAAGGCAATTAAATTCGATTTCAATGTTATTCAATAAATGAGAAGGATATTAGCTTCATAAGAATTCATGCATGTAATAATCATAAATTTAACGAAAAAAGCATTTCCCATAAAAATTAAATAAATTTTTTTTTAAAAGTAACTAAACTATTATTTACCTACAAACAAACCTTTTTACATGAGGTTTGGATGTTCTAGAATTCCATTTCGTATTGGTAAGTTCCCCAAATTTCCTTACCCACCTATTGCAATCGTCTAAATTTAGAACAATACTTCTAAGGGTAATGGTATTTGAAGAAATATTTTTTACTTCATTTTTAAATGAGGAAGACAGTTTCTCTGTTGAAAAAACTGACATTTCAAGTTTGTTAACAAAAGCTGGAGTATAGAAATCACTCTATGCTGAAAATAACAAGCATGGCAGAATGAAATAGCTATACGTCACAGATGGCGTTGCCGAGAAAGCCAATCAGCGCGCTCAAAATTTCTTGGGGATACTATGTGTGTAAAGAAAGTTTACCTCGGAGGTTACGGTCTTGCTCGTTAAAAGCGACTTCTGTTCCATAGACTTAACATTGATCCAACCAAATATTCTCGTTTCCCTCGTTAAATCCGAGTTCTCGTTAAGTCCGAGCTCGTTATAAACGAGTTCGACTGTATTAGCGTCTAGGTACTAGGTCTGAGAAACATCCCTGAGGATGATCCGAAGACATGAAATCGCAATTTTAATCCTCTGCAGAGGGGATGGCTCACTTCCTTCGGTAGCCCAACGAATACGTGCGAAGAAATGAAATGAATATCATATGAAATTATAATATAAATTAATAAAATAAAAATCAAAAATATTGTCTTTAAGTTACATAATAAACAATATTTTTCTAACAAAAGCCCTGGCAAAAGTTAAAAATATATAAAAAAGAATTTTTTTTTTTTAACTAGGTAGGGTTTAACAAACTGTGACGGATTTCTATTCTCAAAATATTGAAATGGCAAAATAAAACTGCTAGTTTTCAAATATCCGAATGAAAATTTTACAACTATTTTTTAAATTTCTTCCCCTGTGACTTTATTTTCAAGTAAGTTCTCTGTGGATACTATCCTTTAAATAACTTTTCGACTATTGCAGACTACTGTGATATCAATCATTCTGCAATTTTAAAAGACTTTTACTTTTAGGGTTTTTATGAATTTCGCTTGGACCCACGTGACTTCAAGACTTGAACCCTGCTATATACTCTGTCGCATTCTAAGACTCCAGTTTATTGGTTATCTTAGCGTATAAAGAAAAGTCACGAGATTCTCAGCAAATAACTGCTAGACCATCAAAAGTTATTCAGATGGCAATTATATTGCAATTAGTGCTTTTAAAATTTTTGCTTGTAAGCGCTGATACACATCAGACACTTATCGTAACTCTGTCGTAAGTCGGAGTTTTAGGTTAAATAATTCTCATTTACGATTCTCATTTAAATAGCAACTAGATTGTTGCAAATAACTGACATCTCAATTATTTTGCAGTCGATGTAAGCTTCTGTAATTACTTCTATTACAATTTCGGCTTCTAAGCAAATTTTGCTGTTAACGAAAACTTTGAGATCACTTAATAGAAATAGAAATTATTTCGTTATCAAATCATGCATTGCGAGAAAGCCTATATTTTATCCTTCAACTGAGTAGTCTTTTTACTATTTGTTCAATAAAAACCTTGTAAGTCCTTTGCAGAAGTAAAGGTTCCTTGGTGATTATATGGCACAAACTTGTGACCTTCTCTGTCAATGTCCAAAAGTGATGCATGCCTTCGGTGTTCTACTTTGTTGTAGTTGTAGTAGTACTTTGTAATAGTAGTACTAGTGCTTCACAATGGGTTATTTTATTTTATTTTATTTTATAACCGTCATTGAACTACCGACCCAATTTTGAGTTAACGACTACCAATACTCAACTCCGTATCCTTCTAATTCTAAATCCAATCAGGAAGACAAAAGAAATCCTGGATCAAGTATTGAGCCGGAATTTGCCTTCGTGGAGGTCTTTTTGATGAAACTAATCCGCATTTGCGTTACAGGAAGAAGAAAAACCTGCAATGTGCTGTCAGGTTAACCGTGAGAGAGGGAGATTAGAGAATTGAATGCAAAAGATTGAGTGAAAGGGAGAGGGCGCCACTCTTGAGTGTCCTAACGGGGATTCTCTCTCAGGGGATTCTAACCCATCATCCGTCTACCACTGAGAATATTTTACGTTAGCACAATGGTCGGGGCGAGTCGATTGCGGAATTCGTTTCGACCAACCATTGCTGGGATTTGAATCCGGGTCACCTTAAACCGAGTGCTTTATTCCCTGAGCCAGCCCGGTTTCACCATGGGCTATGGTCTGGTAAACATTCCTCAGGATGATCCGAAGACATTTTGATCCTTTGCAGAGGGTATGGCTCCCACGATTCGGTAGCCGATGTCCTTCACAAGTTCCTTCAAGTACTTTGCGGTTGCACAGTTTAATGAGAACTGATACCGCACTGGCAGAGCGGTATCACCCGCCAAACGTAATGCAAAGTGTGGAGGCAGCAGGTTCAAATCCCGCTGTTACCCTGGATGGGTCTTCGTGCTGTCATTTTTTGTAGTGTGCTATCTGTTCTTCTATGTGTCTAACTGAGCACACAAGCCTGCAAATTTATGCTGTAACAATAAATAAATAAATAAAATACAACACCCTTCTCACGCTGATCAGAGTAGACACTCGCCTACTCACTGATCGCAGCCTGTAATGCTTATCTTAGTGTTCTAATCGAAACCGTGTCCTTATGATCAATCCACTGTGGAACGAATCTGTTTGTAAAATAATTGTAATATGATTTTTCATGATTGCATGCCAAACTACAACAATGGATACATCTTATAACGAACCAGTTATTAGTAAATACCGAAAAGTAGCTTTGTTAGGAAATGGTTCCTACGGTACATGTTATTTGGTAAAACAAAATAAGACTTCTTATGTCTTAAAAGAAGTCAACATGAACTCATTAACTTCTGTTGAGAAACAACGTGCTTTTAATGAAGTCAGTATGTTAGCTACATTAAAACATCGACATATTATCGGATACAGAGACTCTGCAATTGACCACACTAGTGGGAAATTATCAATAATTATGGATTATGCTGATTCAGGTAAGATATAATTTTGTTTATAGAATTTTCGTATTAGCTTGCAATTATAACAATGCCAATTTTTATAGTAATTGTTTTGAAGAGCAAGTTTATTTGAATTTTTAATATTTTTCAATGATCTGAATTTTTCAATGAAAATAATTCTTCAAAATGTTTTCCTGAAAATTGTAAATCGGGGAAGGTTGTTTTCCTACTTAGTAAACACTTTTCCTTTAAGAGCAAAAATATAAAATGTTTTAATTCAAGTTGTTTAATTTTAATTGGAATGTTAAAAATCTGATGTCATCAAGTTTCTAAATGTAGAAAATCTGAAGTTAGTGATAAGCCAAAGTATAGTTTATTGTAACTAATTAATAACGAGATTTTAATTTTTTTAGTATCATTTATGTATACCATTTAATGAATACCAAAATGAAAGGAAAAATTACTGGAAAACAATCCTGTCTAAAAACTTTCTTTGAAAAACTTAGAAACTTCTAAAATCCTGCCAAAATCTAAAGTAATGTAGATTTTGATTCTATGGGTAGCCCTTGCAGTTGGATTCTTTATGAAAACTTTCATTCATTCTGTTTCCCGGTAAAGCAAATGTTCGTTAGTTTTACACTAATTTTTCTTTGGAAGCAAATTTGTCCCATTACATGATCGGCTTTATATTCTTTGGCTTTAAGTTGATTAATAAATTACAAGGGCAAAGGAATTTAAAATTATAAGGTGAAGGAATTGAAAATTACCAGGCGAAGGAATCGAAAATTACCAGGCGAAGGAATCGAAAATTACCAGGCAAAGGAATCGAAAATTACCAGGCGAAGGAATCGAAAATTACCAGGTGAAGGAACACTAGAAAGCAATAAATCTAATATAATATGGTTCAACATTGTTTATAAAATAGAATTAGAAAGCTATTTTGTAGGTATTTTCTGTATTTCTTCCAGTTTTAGGAAGCTTGTTTCGGGGCATTTGAGTTTCATTGTAATTCTGTAAACCATTTATAAGCTTTCTAAAATAAGAAGAAAAAAAAACAAAAAAATCCTTGGAAAAGTTTTCGTTTCTGGTTTTCAGAGAAAAGGGTTGAAGGAAAATTTTCACTTCATCTAAAAAAATAATTTAATTTTAAATAAATAAAAAATTAATGATTCCATAATTAACCGTAAAGCTGCAATTAAGTTTCGCTGAATTTATTTTTCATTAAATAATATTTATTAAATGTTAGTTATATTTCTTTTATTAAAAATGTACATTAACAATTAAATCTTGATGATATTTGCTAATAAGTGCTTCAATACATAGCTTTCACTGTTATTTAAAATTTAAATTCCAGGTGACCTTGCCGCGGCCATAGAGAAACAAAAGGGCGTACCTTTTAGTGAATACGTAAGCATTTTTTTTTCTAATTGTTTTAACGAATTATTTTTTCTTTATTATTTTTAACGAAGGTCCTTATTATTTTTAACTGTTTTCAAAATTTTTAGCAAACCATATCTTGGTTCATTCAAATCAGCCAGGCTTTGCAGTACATTCACTCTCTGAACATCTTACACAGAGGTAAACATCCAGCATTAAATTCAACATCTTATTTTCTTTTAATGACTCTTAATTTTTTTAACTTTTCAGATTTGAAAACTCAAAATATATTTTTAAGTGGAAACCATACAATTAAAATTGGTGACTTTGGTGTATCCAGATTGTTGAACGATTCAAAAGATTTTGCAAAAACTGCTATTGGAACGCCATATTATCTTTCTCCAGAAATAATAATGAGAAAGCCGTATCCTTTTTTAAGTTTTTAACTCGTATATTAGAATTAAGACGTTGTATACTCTAAATTCAGATTTGTATGAGCCCCGGAATTAGTTTTATTGCGAAATGCAAAGTTTAATTTCCTTATTTTTTTTACGTCTTTTGAAGAAGCATTTTTTAAAACCGGAGTTAAGTTTAATTTTCAAAATATCAATTTCATCACCGCACACAAATATAAACTTCCAATTGTATTATTAGTTTCATTTCTATGAAATATTAATGTGTTGAACATTACAAGTATATGCGCATATGTAAATAAACTTTACCCTCTACTGTACGCATGGTAGATATGATCAATAAAATACAGATTCTTGTGGAATATGCTGCATTACTACTAAAAAAAGCAAATTTAAAATTTACAAAGAACATAACCTAATCAGAGGAGACCCACGTATGATTACTTCATAAAGGTAATTTGTTCTTTTGCACATAATCGCTCACTAAAACAGCAGGAAAAAATAGATATATTTCTCCAAAAAGATTTAGTTTATCCTAGCAATTTTGAAATCCATATAAACATAAATTTTTTATAATTATTAACATAAATTTATTATATTTTTGACGGTGTTATGTAAACTTGTCATAACTTATATAAATTTAGATTTAGGCTTGCATCACATGATCAGTTGATTTTCTTCTAAATTTTCTAAGAATTTTGATTATTTTATTTCATTCAATTTCCAGTTGGTTTTTTCTCTAATTTTATTTTCGAATTTATGACTTTTGGCAATCTGTCGGGTGAAACTTCCATCTCTTTTTATACGAAATTGGGGTTTGTTGATTTCAGCCAGGTGCATTCGAAGCTGTGATTTGTGGATAACCTCCAGGTTAATTTCGCATCCTAGCCAAAGGTTACGCGTCCAGGGAGTTCTATTAAGTCTCACTATTATGTATTTTTCAAATCCTTATCAGCAAATTTTTAAAAGAAAATTTTACACATTGGGAGACACATAATTATTCATCGAAGAAATACAAAAACAGCATCGAAGTCTAATAAAATATGCCATAGGAATGTGGGAGTAATAAACAACGAAACTGGTTTGATTGCTTTTTTGGAACTATTTGGCTTTAATTTCATAAGGTAAATACACTTTAATTTAATTAGTGTGAAATGTAATAATGAAATGTTTTTTAAGCTGTAACATTATTCTCTCTGAAGTACGTTGCACGAGTGTATATATATATATATTAAAGACACACACACAGGGTCTCCCTTAAATGTTCGATGTTGCACAAACTTCTAGGGGAAATAGGGCATATCATAAGGATTAAGAATTACCTAGAGAATCATGACCAGAAATGTTATCGTACGCCGCTATTGGCGCTTTCCTGTTATGACATCGTGAGCACTTGAACATCAGGTACTTTTATTTATCTTCATTTTTTGTTTTCCTTTAATTATCAAAAACTGCTTTCAAATAGGTACAGTATTGCTATTTATCGTAATTTAATGATTTGGCGACTAATTGGACTAGTTCGCCTAATCATTAAATTACGATAAAACAGTATTTCTGAGCCTGTTTTAATGGAACTCTCGACAATAACTAATAGTAATAGCCTAGGCCGGGATAGCCTGGTTGGTAGGGCACTGGGGGCATATCCAACAGTTTGTGGGTTCGATCCCCGCCTGCCGAAGACTCCCCGTGTAGTAAATGGTGACTGATGCTCGTTGAATCTGTCGAGTCGCAAAGTTCTCCATGTTCTCATAACAAATTAACACCTCTGGGGGTACTGATCCAGGAGTTTCCTTGGCTTCTGGATTGGTTCAAAATAACAAGGCTACGGAGTTGAATATCAGTAGTCGTAAATCGAAAACTTGGGGTCAGCTGTTCAGCGGCGGATATAAAATAAGATATAAAATAATAGTAATAGCCTGGATAGCCAGGTTGGTAGGTCACTGGGCCCATGTCCAAGATTTCGTAAATTCGATCCCCACCGGACGAAGTAAATGGTGGCTGATGCACGCTAAATATGTTGAGTCACAAAGTCCTCCATGTTCCCATAACGAATCATACCTCTGGGGGTAGTCATCCAGGAGTTTCGTAATAAATATTATCTGGAATAGAAGTAGTCTAGTTTTTCAATAGTAGTCGTAACCCAAATTTGATTCGGCTGTTCAACGACGCCTATGAAATAAAATAGTAAAATAAGAGTCGTGATGGCTCAGGACGTAGAGCGTTCGCCTTACAATGAGGTGAACCGGGTTCGAATCCCAGTGATGGCCAATTGATACGAATCCGTATCCGGCTTGCACCGACCACAGTGCTGGCGTGAAATATCCTCAGTGGTAGACGGATCATGGATCAGAGTCCCCTTGCCACCAGGCTAACCGTAGGATATTTTCATGGTTTTCCTCTCCATGTAACGCAAATGCAGGTTAGTTCCTTCGAAAAAGTCCACCACGCAGGCATTTTTCTCCCAATACTTGATCCAGGAGTTCTCTTTCCAGCTGGATTTGGTTCAAAATTACAAGGCTGCGGTGTTGAATATTAGTAGTCGTAAACCCACTATTGGGTCTGCTGTTCAGCGACAGTTATGAAATAAATAGTAACATGAAATTAAAAAACTTTAAAAAAATAACAGTGCAAGTTCAAAGGCACACGAACAACTTGTCCAAAGCACCTCTAGCAGCGTAAGATGACACTTCCGGTCATGATTTCCTAGGTAATTTTTAATCCTTATGATTTGCCCCACTTTCTCTAGTCGCAACATTTACGGGACACCCTATATATCAAAAGAAAAAATACTAACTTCCTCCTGTGTGGCTCCGAAACTATTGATCCAAATATATATATATATATATATATATATATATCCAATATTAGAGAANTATATATATATATATATATAATATGACTAAATTTATATGCTTTACTTGTTTATCTTTAATTAAAACCTAGATATAATACAAAAAGTGATATGTGGGCACTAGGATGTGTTTTATTTGAGATTTCTGCACTTGAACGACCCTTCAAAGCAGTGTCTTTACCGCAACTAGTGAGTGTTATTTTAGAAGGAAGCCGACAACCGTTTCCCACGTAAGTAAGAAAATTGCTTCTTGCATTTTTTAACATTTATTTAAAGCTGAACATGGTAGTTGTCTAGCATATAGAAAGGTTTATAATCTTCTCTATTGTTTCAGAAGGCTATAATAAAAACAAGAATACACATATGCATCTCGCACTTAACACTAGATTGCCAAGGATTCCCAAGGAAGTCATTTTGACTGCTTTTTCGTTTGCAAAAAATGTACAAATAATATACCTAATTTTTTTTTTTTTTTTTAAGTGAAGTAAATTTTTTTTTGTTTATATTTTCTACTGACTTACATAATTGTAAATAATGTATAACTGTTATATAACTATAAATAATATAAAAAACATTAAGAATTAAACAAATTTCTTTTTACACATTAGTTATTCTTTCACAATGCAGTCATTTTGACTGCTTTTGGGCATTATAGGTATATACTAAGTTTGTCTTTCTAGTGTTAAAACTATTCAAGATTTCTTTTTTAGATCACAGAGGTATTGGATGTTTGAATCCTTGGTTCACCATTATTTATTTGATACAACAAATATTATTTATTTTACTAGCGAACTAATATTCGTCATTGAATAGTGTTCACACATTGAATAAGTGTAAAAAAAAAAAATTGTGCCAGAGGCTGAAAAAAATTTATTTTCAGTTCACGACTATATTTTTAATGTAGTCATTACAAATTACTTTTAAAAGGCCACTTTTTGGAGTCATTTTCATGGAAGATTTACACTTAATTCAAAATCAAAAAAGTACAGTTTAATAGAAATAATTTGTAAAATAATAGTTTTGAATAATATATTAAAATATTTAAGCCTGGTAAACCATAAAGAAATGTTTTCGTCTACACCCGAGCAATTAATTATTTTAAACTATATTTTTACGAGTTTTCCTTCCAACCTTCAATTTTTTATGACAGAAAATTTAATTTAAGAAATGCCAGAAAGTTATCAATTATTTTTGACTGTTAAGTGGTTAAGGCTTTTTTATTTCATGCTCCTCGTCATTGAAGTAATGTGTATGAAGTATTTTTAATTTTAATTAGGAAAGTAAATTTGCGTTTGAGGGCATGGATGAGAGAATTGATAAATTAATTTCATATTGATGAATAAATCTAATCAATAGATCTAAAAGAGATCTATTGATTAGGCCAAACAGACCGTCTCGTGTTTCCGTTTGTACCAATAATTCTTGAAATATCGCATTTTAACCTTGTTTCTTTAAAATAACATTAAAAATAGTTGCCATAAATCGTGACAAACTAGTGTATTTTTTCACGCTTACTATTCTCAAAAATAGTTTTGTCACTTGTAGTGCGTGAGTCAGCTCTGATCACTAGTCTTCATAATAACGACTTCATAAAAATTCCGATGTCGTCTTCATTTTGTCGTATGTCGCTTTCATAAAGCATCCCAGGGAGAAATTTCGTTATTTATTATGTAGCAAAGTTTTATCTAATGTTATAGAATTATCTTATACAAATAACTTGGAAATAACTTTTAAAAAGAAGGAAAAAATAAGTGTTAAAATGTTACGATTGTATTATGCTTATCAAATATCACTAAATTTTTAATGTTTTAGCTGTTAATTTTATTCCTTTTTGTATTTTTTTTACCTAATTTGTTTACTTTTTTCTCATCAGTTGACCTAAAATTTGTCGATTCCTATCAAATATATTTTTAACGCTGCAGCCATTGAAGTAGGATAAACCTACTGATAAAGATATATCATATGTAGCAACGCAACTTGTGTGCTTTGATAAATTTTACTGCATACTGATTTAAGCGTTTTTGCTTATTCATAATTTTATCACAAAAGATTAGTCTTCTTAATAGTAAATCTTTTTTGAAAATGAACTGAGCCACCTATTCAATTTATTATTTCATTTCTTTTAAATTTTTATAACTTGATAATTTATTGTATCTTCTAAAATTAATGAAACTTATTTTCAGCACGTTAGGGATTGCAAGTTAATAAAAAGCAAGAAAATAAAAATTTATCAGCGCGTGACAAATCCTTAACTAGATAATAAGAAACATTGGATTAGTCTGCAAACTTTAATACATCATCGGTAAGCTGTTTATTCTGACAGCTCAAATTGTATGTTGGATAAAATGGATACCGTTTAAAAAGGATGATTAAGACAATTGACACAGTACAAACTACGCCTTTTCGAAGTTCAACCTTAATTTAACGACGAAACTAACAATTTCGTACATACTTTCCTAATTTTTTTGAACAAAAAGCATAATCATTACGGAGAAAAGTCCTAAACTTTGAGTCGGATTGACTAGGTATATTACAAAAGTAACTTAAGAGGAAATCTATTTGTATTCAGAATACTATACGATGGAGTATTTTTTTAAAAATCCAAATTCGTGCAGATTAAGTTTAATACCACTGTATAAATTTGAAGGATCCGTGAAAACTGAGTAATAACAACTGTTAACTTTAATTTTCTTTTCTTTTTCAAAAAAGACAAATTTGAAAAAGTATACAAAATTTTGTCAAATGGACGATATAACATTACGAATTTGTCTCCGTTTATTTTATTCTTGAAAAAAGAACAATTTTCATTACAAAAGTTTGAGAATCTGAATCAAATGTTATGTTGATTTTCTCAAATACCCATTTTGACAAATGTCCATTTTCTTAAACACCCGTTTTCAGCTATATATTCTTTAAACACATGTTCACAAGGTTAATATCATATTAACTTCACATTTTGAGCTGTGTCCTAAATAAAAAGGTCATTTACGATGCATAGTTATGTATAATATGTATACACACACGAGGGGAAAATTACAGTACAATGAAAAAGAGGAGAAAAAATAATAAAAATACCAAAAACCGGAGAGAGAAAAAATCCCGAAAAAAAGGACAAAGAATTTTAAAAAAATCCGGAAAATAAAAGATATAAACTTTTCATCAGCTCACACGATTATATCAGCAAAAAAGAGTGCTTTCTATTATTGTATCAATATAGCCAAAGCAAAATATATCAATACAATAGTGTGAGGAATAGTGTACAATAGTGTTTTTCTTAATTTTCTTTGTGTTTTTGTATTTATTATGCTATATATGTATATAAAGGAAAGTGATTATGAATTCCTATTCTAATAAATGACTTCACTAAATAAAAAGGACTGATTTTTTAAGTTATTTTGAATAATCTAGTCAATATATCACACAAAAAAATGCCTATTCGAGATGATTTTGACAATATTTTAAAATGCTTAATTTTAAACTTTAGTTGGATGAAATCTGGTTTAATAAATCAATTAGTGGATGATTTGTTAAGTTTAAATCCTGATCAAAGACCATCAACAGATGAAATCTTGGCTAATCCGTCTTTGAGGAGCATTCTTTCAGGTTTTGTCCAGAGCACAAACGTAAGTATCTTTAATATAACATTTAAGGGTTTATTATAAGATAATCACAAAAAATGACGCCCAAAATTACATTTTCTTTCAAGATCAAAGTTAAAATATCTGATATATTCTTTTTGAAATATTGTGAATTCTACAAAATATGTGTGTGCAAATTAAGTCTAAGAAAAATATCTTAGTTATGCTTTTTATATGAACTGCTATCATTGTTAAATTGAGTTTCCCAATGGAAACTTTAAATCCAACATAGACTTAAATTAAAAGTAAATCTATAAATGGTATATGTGTAACTTTCTTCATTTCTATCTTAAGATCTCACTCTCAGACAGCATATTAGGGCGCCGAACATTATTCTATTCTATTATTTCTTTATTAATTTCGGTTACCCAATATTATCAGATAGTAGGAACTCACCAAAGGAGTTACAATTCTGCTAATGATATTACTTCTTAATAATAATTCTAAATTTTATCTTTTTAAATAGGAAATTCCAAGTCGTCATGTCACTAGAATGGCCTATAGCAGCAATCCAAAGGATAGCGTGAAAAGAAGTGCATCAGTTTTAAATTCAAGTAAATTGTGTGAATCTTTAGTTTGTAGTACTTTTCATGTTTTAAAAGAAGGTAACGCTGTAAAATATGTAAATGCTTTGTTCGTCTTTCTTTCGACGAAGTATTATAGCTAAATTGTTAGCTCAGTCAAATAGTTTGATTTTAATATATCTCAAACTTCATTAAGTATTATTTATAAAGTTTGCTGTATTGCTTTAACTGTTATGGTTAGATAAATATGGTCAAGACCACGATACATTTTCTGCTTTTTTTTCTGTTCTAGTTTAAATTAAGACTTTTACTTTTGCTCAGTATAGCAAAATTTGGCTTTTGCATCATTAAATTGTGTGGATCAAAACTAAAATGAATCGTTTTTACTATCTGATAGAAAGATTCGTTATATTTTCCATCTTAATGGTTTTAGAAACCTCATTATGTTACTAACTATCAGCTAACTTACGAAATCGGGCACAAAAACATACTTATATTGAATAAGCATACATTTTCCCACGAATTCATATTCTGAATCTTCAAAATATGTTAAGTACAAGTACTTACTAACTTGAAGATATTGTTCCTCTGTGTCTACTATTTAAATTATGTAAAAATTAAGATTTTAAAGTGTTTTGGGGTTTTTTCCTTCATTATCTTAAAGCTGTAAAATATTTCAGACATTTCACAATTATATGCTTAATTTAACCATAGATACATTTGCTAGATAACAAAACATAATCCAACATTTTTGTTAAAACTGGAATATTTCAGATTTTTCTAAACTTAAATTTTGCGTGATCATGTTTCTTAAATTTTGTGTTATAATTATCGTTAATTATTATATCATAAATATCAAATTGTTTCATGCAAAATAGAGTAATTTCAGTTTCAAAATTAGTGTGCCTGTCTAAAGATTGGCTTTTCAAATATTAAGTGCTTTTCTTAAGGGTTCAAAATGTTGATCATCAGTTTGTTAATTAATAATTTTTATCTTGACTTAATGATTGAAAATGTTTTCAATTTAAAGGTGTCCAAATTTTAGCACAATTTTCAACCATGTCGTTTTAAATGATAAATTACGAATCTTGAACGAAAGCAGTTGAAAAATGAAAATTCAAAATTACTTACTCAAATTTAGGCTATAACATTATTCGGCCAATAGCTTTCTGACTTTTAATTTTGTCTCTTAAAGCTGCATAGTTAAAAATTAAGTAAAAATTTGCAAACCGTATAATTCAAACATTTTCGTCCACCATTAAACAATTTTATAAAAATATAGAATAAATCTTTTACACGAAAACTATCTTTTGTAAACGAGTCTTAGAGTTATAAGCGAAACTTTTTGATTCGCTTAAACAGTTCAAAAAACATGACGAAGCACGAAAAAGTGAAATTCGCATAAAAAGCAATCGCGAAACAGATTGTTATGCATTTAACTTTGTTTCGAACGGTTTTGAAAAATAATTACTTCCCTTTTGTAGATCAATCGAAATAAAATAAATTAAAAACAAAAGTAAAACAGCAGTATAAATTTAAAACAATAAAATCCCGAAAGATTTTCAATAAAAATAAATTACCAATGAACATCCTATATTTCATACTAAAAGTCATTTTACCCCTAGTGTATGTACTCTATTTTATATTCCTGCAGAATAATTTAATTCGCATAGTTATGAAAAATTACTTGAAATTTTTATGTCCCCAAATAAAATTTTATAAAAGTATGTTGCGTTTTTAAATTTGAACTTTTTAGAGTATTAACTTCTACTTATAGCATTTATCTTTAATTTTTACAGATAATTCAAAGATTCCCAAATGTTCAGTAAAAACAGCAGTAAGTATAAAATTTCTTTCATATGCATGCATGCAATTTGTGATGCATTTCTCTACTAGTAAACTTAAACAGTTACTAGTAACTAGTAAACATAGGGGGATAAATAATTTTTATTGTTGTATCATGTTTTTCTTATACCTATTAAATTATAAATTTACTTTTTTTACAGGACTTGAAGTTTTTAGATTGTCAATACCTCATATATCATAATGATGAATTATTTGTTACATAAATTTTATATTAACCGGATTAATTTAAAAAACAAAAATGCTTTTTTATTCCTCCGTGTCAGCTATTTATTATATGAATTTTTCTAAACAATCTAAGAAAAATGCGATTTGAAAACTTAATATGTTCACTAAAATTTATAATCACTCCACGCATAAATCACAGTTTGTCGAAAGCAAGAACTCCCCTAGCCATTCGTCTGGAGCCGTGGCGGTGACTATGGTTACGAGGTATGACTATTCCAAGTAAGGGTTTGGGGTCGGATCGGCGAGAGAGTTTTTTTTAATTCGGTTTATTATATTGGTGTTAGCCCTAGAGCGAAGAGAAATTAGCATTCGCATCTGAAACATTGTTTAAAGCTCTTGATTCAGTTTTTATTTTATTTTATCTTTTTGCTTTTTCAAAAGTTTGTGTTTCGGAAGAGTTTTTCAACGAAAAAAAATTTTTTCTAAGTTTTTCTATTTTTCATTCTTTTTTTAAATTTAATTTTCAAAGATGCGTTTCCAATTTACTAAATGCCTTTTGAATTTCTTTGAATAATGAATGATGTTGATAAATAGAAAAACAATTATTCAGTTTGGAAATTTTATAAAGTTGCTTAAAGCAGTTATGTACATATTTTATTAATAAATAACTCATCTTTAAATATCCTGTGCATTGTAAATTGATTTTTAAGAAGGAAAGATAAAGTAAAAGAAAAATTTGCTAATAAAAATACTTATATAAATACCTTTTAGTAAATGGTGAAAAAACATTTAAACAAATAACACAGGCTACATTAAAATAAAAAAAAGAAAACGTAATTTTAAAAAAAAATTAGAAGTTATTAGGTTTGAGTGTTGATCAAAATTATCTTGATAGTTATAGACTTCATCCTAGTTGCGGTGACTTGCTTTCCGCTGAAGAAAAAAACTGAATAAAAAAATTAATAAAAAGATAGTAAAAGTAATAATAAATAAAACGAGTTACAACTTAGTACCTATTTAATTTATTCAATTTAATTATTATTTATTTTACACACTATTTACGACAAGAAATATAAATAAAACAAAAACTTTCCTCCCCCGCTAAAAAAAAAATCTTTAAAGGAGGAAAAAAAGATGGAAAGTTAACATTTGTATTAGTTAAATAGGTTACATAAACTAAATAATATGGATTAAAATCTGTACACATAAGAGTATACAACATCAACATGAACAAAAAATAATAAATTCTAATGAATGGGTTAAATCTCTCCGGAATAGATAACTTGAATTGTTTTTTTCTTACTGTAGCAAAACTTTTATTACCTTTTAAAATTAAAGTTAATAAACTTAAGTATTTCACTTTTACCAGAAAATTTAGCGAATAAAAAAAAATGTTTTACGAAGATGTGTAAGTTTAGAAATTATACTGTCTGAAAATCAACATTCTGGGAATTCTACCCGAAAAATCAATCATTCATAATAAATAGCGTAAATAGTGAAAAACTAGCTTAAAATTAAAAAGTAACAAAAAAAAGAAACCGGCATTGCCCTTAATTTTCAGTATATGTTCAATATTTGTTCCTTTTTTGCACTTAAAAAATAGTAACCTATTGGGCAAAGAGCATAATTTTAAGTAAAGAAATATCCATGCGAATCTTAAAGTTCTTGAATCAGACTTAAGTAAGTCTCCAACAGGCGGGTGAGTTGGCAAATCTGGTAAACTTCCTATATAGTCAATCGTCGAAGCAGCCCTCCCTGGAATGCGCTATTCTTGTTTCCATAACAGCAGACGGCCTATTTACTTTGTGGTGGGGTAATCTCTTTCTAAAGACAAACCATAAAAACTTTTTTTCCTGTTATTAGAGTAGAGTAGAAGTACCACAAAGCCAGCCCTCTCTATATATAGCCAGTCTTCAATATTGTCCAGTTCTTGAAATAGTTAAACCTAGTAATCATAATAGTCACCACCACTGCTCCAGATGAATGGTGAGGTAAGTTCTTTCTTTAGACAGACTTCAGATCGCTTCTACTATCTTTTCTGAAAAAAATATAAAATATCACTTTAATTTTGGCCACATAATAGATATATTGGGATGACTTATTTAATTTTAATCTATCAAGATTTTTTCCGAGATTTTAAAATACTCACGCTGCCCATCTTTATTAAGAGTTAATAAAGCCCTTTGATAGACCAGACGGCAAGCCAAAGACTGAGGCAAGAAATGAGAAAAATCTGTCGTAACTGCCTATTTATTTTTAAATTGAGGATATCGTTAAATTAAATGTTAATTTCTAACTTCATATTTCCAGTAAGCAAAACCTATATTCTATTTCATGAAAAAGGATATTTTTTGATACAAAATATTCCTTGAAGTTACCAATAATTCATATTAGTCCAAGGTCCTTATCTTTTATAAGACGCCGTCTTACCCCAAATATAATGAAGAAGGCCTGCCTTTTCAAAGAATTCTTAAAAGATACACATGTTCAATTTATAGTTTTCTTTTTTTTATTATTGATTCAGGAAAATGAACGGAAGCCAACCGCCACTCGAGTTATTCCACCTGCCGTCGTTGTCACTGAATATCAAGACAAATATGAAGAAAGTGATCGGAAGCAACGTTCTTCCTCCACTCGAGCTGTTTCTCTCGCCGCCATTGTCCCAGAATATCGAGGCAAATATGCGGAAAGTGACCGGAAGCAGCGTTCTTTCTCCACTCGAGCTGTTTCTCCTGCCACCTTTGTCACTGAAAACAGAAACCAATTTGAAGCAAATGAAAGGAAGCCCCGTTCTACATCTATTCGAGCTACTCCACCTGGCATTATCGGAGATGAAACAACCCTTAATGTCAGTATATGTTCAATATTTTTCTTTTGTACTTTAAAAATTGCAACCCGATGGGTAAAGAGCATCATTTTAAGTAAAAGAAATATCCATGCTAATCTTAAAGTTTCTTAATCAGATTTTTATAAGTCTCCTACTAGCGATTGAGTCGGCCAATCTGGTAAACTTCCTATTCAAAGAAATTAATCATCGAAGCTCCTCTTCCTGAAATGCGCTATTCTTGTTTCCATAGCAGCAGGCGGCCATTGATTTTGTATTGTGGGGGTGGGAGAGTTCTTACTATAGAGAAACTATATAAACTTTTTTCCTGCCGTAATTAGGATAGAAGTAGTTTGTCTAAAGAAGGAACTCCTTTCACCATGAAATCTGAGGCCATCAGTGCTCTTAATCTCTCCAACCCGAGCATAAAACTGTCTTAAATATTGTCCAGTTCTTGAAAGAGTTAAACCCAGCAATCAGTCACCACCACCACTGCACCAGATGAATGATAAGGGAAGTTCTTTAGACAAGCTATATATAGTTTTAGTTACTAGCTTATCTGAAAAAATATAAAATGGCACTTTAATTTTGGCCACATGATAGGTATATTGGGATGCCTTATTTAACTTTCATCTATCAAGATTTTTTCCGAGATTTTAAAATACTCATATACCCACGCACATAGCCATCTTTATTAAGAATTAATAAAGCTCTTTGACAGACCAGACAGCTAGCCGAAAACAGTGGCAAGAAATAAGAAAACACCGTCGTAACTAGCCATTTATATGTTTATTTGATATTGAGGAAAACTATTTACTTCAAATTAAATGCTAATTTCGGATTTCATGTTTCCAGTAAAAAACCAATATTCAATTTTATAAAAAAGGATATTTCTTGATGATACAATCTTCCTTTAAATTACCGATGATTCCCATTATCCAAGGTTTTTATTTTCTTTCATATGGCACCGAGTTACCCTAAATGTAATAAACAAGTCCTGCTTCTTTAAATAATTCTTAAATACAAAGTATTCAATTTATAGTGTTTTCTTTTTTTTATTGTTTCAGGAAAATGATCGGAAATCAACCTCCACTCGAGTTATTCCATCTGCCGTCGTTGTCACTGAATATCAAGACAAATATGAGGAAAGTTACAACAGGCAACGTTCTTTCTCCACTCTAGCTGATTCGCCTGTCGCCATTGCCACTGAATATCAAGACAAATATGAGGAAAGTTACCGCAGGCAACGTTCTTTCTCCTCCCGAGCTGTTTCTCCTGCTACCTTTGTCACTGAACCCAGAGACAAATTTGAAACAAATCAAAGAAAGTCTCGCTCTGCATCCATCCAAGCTACTCCACCTGGCATTATTGCAACTGAAAACAAAATGCTATGTGAATTTGAGGCAAACGAACCGAAGCCCCGTTCTGCAGCCATCCGAGGTACTTCATCTGGCATTGTGGTTAATGAAAACCAAATTACAGACAAATTTGAGGAGAAGGAGATGAAGAAGAAATGGGAAAAACGCTTTGTGTTTCAACGTACCACTGTTGCAAATACTATTGCAAATAAAACTCCAAACAAATTTCCTATTTCAGAACCAGGTATCAGTAGCAAGAGTAAGATGAATATCACATACGTTGTCAAAGAAGAAAGCAACTCCGTCGAAAACACAAAACCTAACAAATTAGATTCCCCACTATCTGTTCATGAAATAGACTTTGGATACTCAAGCGAAGAAGCAGACTCTACCGATAAAGATAAAGGTGTTTTTGAACTTTCACCAAATAACAGCGAACAATTTCATGAAGGTATGAAACATCCAGAAGCGAAAACTGCACACGACAGTATTTTAAGCAACCAAACTCATTGTGATCATTCACAATGCAACCAGTGCTTGCTTGATATGATGTGGAAAAATAGAATCCGTGGGTGCGTCGATCTATCTAACAGCAATGGTGACTATTTAAGGTTAAAAACGAAACTACTGCTGATTTTCGGGCATGATTTATTCCAAAAGATTTATGAATCACTACTTCACGAATGGGAAAGAAATGAAAGTAACTTTACACAAACATCTATTCAAAGTTTCGCAAAGCTCCTTAATTATGAGCAAGTTCAGCATCTTCCTCTTATGATGCAACTCATTCAATTAGACTTGGTGAAATTATCAGAAAAAGAAACTTGAAACATTATGAGCAATGAAGTAGCTACTTACATATAATAGTGCAAAAGTTTGACTAATTCAGGTTCAGAGTGTTTGGTAATATATTACAATGAGTTTTAAATTAGTGAATTCACTTTTGAAATTTGTAATCTTGAGATTTTTAAATGTAACGTGGTATTACAGCATTTGTTGAACAAATGAAATATCGCAATCAGTGTTCTATAAGTGTCTTACATATTTATTAGTTGTAGCTGAATATAATTATTAAAAAATAAAAATAAAAACTTTTAAAAATATTTTCATTTGTTTTAACTTGACATTAACATACTTTTCTGACAATGAAGATACTGAAGAATATTTTATTGCACTCTGCATAACTGTAAATATGTAAGGCAAACCGACAATTTGAATTTAATTAGAAAGATTTATTTAAAAATTAAAACTGGTTCAATAAAACAAGAGAAAACATTCTTACAATTATCAGGGCAATTCTATGCCAAAGAGACACTCAGACATAAAGTTACACAAAGTTTTTCATAAATATAAATGAATATTTTTATGTATTCATATTTTGCATAGATAAATATACATATTGACGAAATAAAAATATGTCTTTCATATAACAAAATTTTTGTATTTTTGTAAAATGCTGCTCTGTAGCAACAGTACATGAAAACAGGTGACAAGATTTAGGGGGTCCAAATATTCTAGAAAAGTTTCTAACCACAGTGTATACATATAAAAATAAGTTTCGGAGTAAGGTATAAAACTAAGCAAATGTAGAAATATATATATATGAACATGTAAAAATAAGCAAAATTTTTCATTTGATGGTTTTGTCAAGTTTCCAAAATATTTTCTCTGTACAACAACTATTGTTTTTCAAGTAGCTTCGGCGATACTTTGGGAGCAAGTATTAAACTGTCACAAAGACAAATAAGTGTCATTATAATGCGCACACTTTCAATGATCTTGCAATAAAACCTTTTATTCTTGAATTATTAATCAGAAATTTTAATTTCGCAGGTTCAGACACTGTGTTACTAGGTCTCAGAATATAAAAAGATTATTAGATTATTCTGATAATCAAGTAGCTGTTTATAACTGCATGCTTTAATATGTTTCGTTAAAAATTCCAAATAAATCGTAACTTTAGAAATAATTTTAATTTATTTTTATTAAATATCTTTGAAAAAAAGCAGCAATATGTTTTTATTTGTTACATTATCAATTCTCACGAATGAATAACATAATCAATAAAAAATAAATACATGATTTTACATGTTTTGAACTAACGAAAGAAAAATTTATGACGTAAAATCATTGCCCTTGGGTAATGACGTAAAACTATTTCCCTCGGATAAATTATTAGCATTATAGACTGTATTTGGTTAGCATCGGTTTTTAATGGTGCCTTATTCAGATTACCATGTACATGTAACACAAATGTAATAAAATATACAAGCCATGACATAATGGCTTCTTAATATAAGACTGTCAGCATAAGATAATGAAGTGGTTTCTCATTGTACAGTGAAAAAAGTAAACGGAAAACCTTGAATAACTTTAGAACTAATGATCGGATCTTTATGTTCAAGGACTTAATCTTAACTGTTCAAGGGAGTAACTTTAAATTTGCTAATTAATTAGTGCAAGCGATATTTCAAGTTGCTGAATCAGACACAAAAATGTACTTTTTCTGAATAAGCATAATTTTTTCTCGAGATTTTCGGATTTCTGACCCCCAAAATATAGGAGAAAAATAATTTTTTACAGTTATTTAGTATTTTAATAATAATCAAAAAATTTTGAATTGTAATGTCTACAATTTTTTATAGCAACTTAAAGAGTGTTATTTTATGTAGCAAAATACAGAATACGAAATAAAAATACGAAATTTGTCGAATAGTTCCTGAGAAATCTAATTTTAGAAATACGACTTTTCTCCTGACCAAACTGTTGGAACCAGATTGCAGCTACCTCCTATATTTTTAGGGTCAGAATTTCCAAATCCGTCGAGAAAAAAAAGCATGTTTATTCAAGTAAAATACGTTTTTGTGTCTGATTACGCAACCTAAAATATCGTCTGCACTAATTAATTAGCATATTTGAGGTCACTTCCTCGATTCATCAACATTAAGTCTTAAAACGTGAAGATCCGATCATTAGATCTAAAGTTATTCAAGGTGGGCCGTTTTTTGTGCACTGTACATCAAAAGCCGTTGCGTTTTGATACTCTCAATTTTGCCAAGTCTGATGAACATATCAAAATATAAAATAATGTATTTTATCTGCAAAAATGGAAAATTACTAAAATAAATGCGAAAACAAAAATACAACACAAATAAGGAATAATTGTGAAGAAATTCGAATTAAAAATGGGGATATATTTAAATTATCTTGATTTAAGGAAGTTCATACTAATATTATTCTATTGATTACTTCAATTAATTTTATCTTCAATTTCCCTTTGGAATTAAAGAGTAGAAAACAAATTTCCTATTGTCCTTTTTTATGCACGATTTTAATGATAAAAACGCTGCAAACCCAATTAGATAATATGTTATTGAGTTTCCATGTTTTGAATAAAAACCAAAAAAGATGTAACAAAAATCCAGTATTTAGAATTTTAGTTTAAAAATTAGAAGAAAAAAAAAAGAATCTGGAAGCAAGCGAGAATTCGCTAAAATTAATTAAATAGAAACTATTCCAACTTTAATGGTTGTTAAAAAAATGAAGTTTTTGATAGAAAAAAAATGTGATAATGTAGAATAGAAATGCAAGTTTTTAGATAATTGGCGGTCTTACAGAAAAGTTCTCGTTTTATCAATGTAAAAAAAAAATAAGAAACCATTTATTTCTAAAATAAATTTTTAATTAAAACCATTTATTTCTCATTTCTTAACGCACACTAGAAATAAATAAAATTTTAATTGAAACCATTGATTTCTTATTTCTTAATGCACAATAGTAATTTGGCATTTCTAATTTTTTCTTTTTATTGTTTTCTTAGGCTTATTGAAAATATACTTAAATGAGAAACATTTCATTTCAATTTGTTTAATTAATGCAAATTCTTTTTGTTATCATTATTGCTAGAATTTTTTATTGTTATTAATAATATGTTATTTTTGTTTCGTTCATTATCTTCCGAATTTCAGTGAATGTATTCTCATAAGTTATTATACACTTACACACATCATATTTCAAACTTATATACACATATTTACATTTTATTAGCATATTTATAATTGTTTTATCAAAGAAAAATTTATTTTTTTAAAGAATAGCTTAGGTCGCATATTGCAAAAAAATTCGATATTTATAAATAATTTTACCACTGATTGCAGAAACACTACAAGTCCATAATTTGAACTGTAACTAAATGTGAAAAGAAACTAGTATTTTTCAAATCAAACTTCAAATTAGATTTTACTTGTTAGATTTTACACCCCAACTTTCATGCTTTACTTCAGCTATTAAGTCTATTTTATATTTAAATATCACGAAAATTTAGTGATAATTTAATAAGTTGTTGTAAAGTAGTAATCATTTAGTAAATTTTTGTAAAATATCAACTAACCGGTAACTGATAATCCAGTCATTCTCTATGTTTTTTTTTTACTTTACTAAATCGTGAAATAAAGTAAGTATAATTTTTTTTAATTACACTACAAACAAATGTGCAACTGTAAGTTTGAATATATCACAACATTCTTTTTCAGACTTTTCCTTGTGCTTTATTAAAGTTTTAACCCTAGTCCTAATTTTAAAATAATTTTGTATACTTATTTTTTTTTTAAAAAAATTAATTTAAATTTTTCGATCGTTTAATTAAATCGTTTATTTAAGATATTTACTTATATCGGAAAAGAAATTTCCTAATTATTCATGTAAATCGGTTCTTTTAATTGAGCTATCAAATCAAATCAAATAATTGTGAAAGGTATTACGTTATTGCCGAATTTCAGTTAAGATACACTTTGTGAAACAGTATTATGAAAAGGCTGTGAGTATTGAAAAAATTAGTTTAAAATTTATGGAAGTTAACTTAAATTGATTATCAAATATCATTGAATGGCAATTAAAGATAACTAACTTCCTAAGTTCAAGAAAAGCAATTTGTCATAAGAATTTAAACAAGTTTAATCCATTCTAAATTTTATGATTTTATATTGTTTAATTAGATTCTTCAGATACGTTTTTTCTCAAAGATAAATTCCAATATAAAATGTTTACAACCAAAGTTATCAATAAATCATAATTCCGCGAAAACCTTAAACGCAATTAAATAAATAGAAAGAAATTACATAATTTGTCAGAAAATCATATTTTTTGTAATAATTTTTCTTCCTTTTCTTTATTTATATTTTTTCATTAATCTTTTAAACAAATTTGTTGTTTTTAAATTTTTTGGCAAGTACATAGTACATATTATAGATAAATATCATGCTGCAGATTATGAATAAAAGTTTATTTTATTTAAGATTCAATTTCACAGCGACATAGAGAAGCATATGAATTATATTATATAAATTAGAGTGTTGATACTAATGTATAATTCGTTTCATGAAAAAATATTATTTTTGTGAAATTTTTTATTTCAATCAACTTTTTTTTTAAATTTTTCATTCATAGTTGTATTAAAATGTTTAGAGTGTATTTCAAGAAAACAATTTATTAAAATAATTTATTAAAATTACTATGTTTCATTTATAAAAAAATGCAACTCAAAATATATTAACTAAATAGAAAAATACCAAGTTAGCAAACCTTAAAAGCAATTAAAGAAAGAAGTTACATAATTTGTCAGAAAATCATATTTTTTGTAATAATTTTTCTTTATTCATAATTTTTGTTTAACTTTTTAAGCAAATTTGTTGTTTTTAAATTTTCGGCAAGTACTTCCCAATTGAAAATTATTCATAAATATCATGTTGCAGATTATGAATAAAAATTAATTTCATTAAAGCTTCAATTTCAAAATGACAAAGGCAAGCATATTCATGTGCTTATATAATATAAATTAGAAGTGATGATACTGATGTATAATTCATTCCAAGTTTCACCAGTAGTATTAAAAATGTTTACTGTGTACTTTAAGAAAATATTATATTAAAATTATGTGTCAAGTCTAAAAACTGCAACGCACAATATACTAACAAAATAAATAATACCAAGTTAGTAAACTTTAAAAGCAATTAAAGAAAAAGAAAAAAACTACATAATTTGTCAGAAAATTATATTTTTTGTAATAATTTTTCTTCCTTTTTTTTATTTATAATTTTTGATTAAT